TACTTGCTATTCAGTCAGTATGTTGTGGGCCCATCAAAGTAAAGTGTTAGAAGATATTAAGCAGACAGTCTACTAATACTCTACTAACTGCTAGTTGACATGTAGTTGCAAAGTTACATACTGTTAATAGAATGTCTAAAGTGGACTATCAAAATAAAGTGTTACCAAAAAAAAAACAATTTCAGCTTTCATGTCAAAAAGCATAAAATTATTTTTAAAAAGTATTCACGTGATATGTGAACTCACCCCTGTGTGATCTATACTGGCAAATGGTGGCTTTTTAGCATAGAAACTTTAAAAGTGATTTGCACCTTCGCTGACGGATCGGGCCACCACCACCTGAATTACGGAACATCTCAAACCTTTATATAAAAAACAAATATATATATATATACAGTATATATATATATAGAGAGTCATCATTGCATTTTCTAAGATGATGAAACCTGTTATTTTTTCAGTAATCAACTCAGTAAACAACAATCCTGTGCTATGAGCACTGCCGCTTCGCTATAGTTAAGTTGTTGTACAATTTGGATGTGCTGGTCAGTGTAATATTTGTCCCACCCTTCCTCCACTGTAATTGGATGGTAGGGTAATTATGACATTGAATAGTGCAGCATTTTATCCACTGAGCTATAAAAACCGGATTGCTCTGAGGTCATAACAAGTACATATCGTAATTCCCACATATTCTATTAACTTAATATGAAATGATCTGATTTTAATGAGAAAACATTACCAAATAACGGTTTTTTATATTTAAAGTCTACCTGTACATTCTTACAATGCAAAGTGAAACGTCCTAAGCATGTACTTGGTTACATATTTATTAGGTCAGGAACTTCCCTGCTTATTGAAGAGTTAAGTTTATCTTCATTACACCAGGGGCGTGTCTACGTGGTGGCCCTCTGGCTGGCCACCCCACCCCCACCCCCACCCCCACCAGATATCTTGCGATAGGCTTGTTTTTAGTAAATTTGTAACTGCATCTGGCAGTTGCGGATCCTGTGTAGGCAGCTGCCTAGGGCCGCTTTCTTCTCTTCTTTATACTTAATTTTAAGTGGTTTCTATAGCGTGATCTTAATGACAAATTTTGAAAGCGCATAATGTTACGCGATCCATGTAATGCGTGAGCAAGAATCTCTCCACTCGCAGTATTGTACTGAATAATTTACTCACCTTCAGACGAATATAAAGGGCAGATCTCCCTAGTGCATTGCTTGAGTGAATCTGATTGGGACTAAAGCTTTCCAACTGCAAAGGAATTATCTGTCTTTGGCTATTTACTTTACATAGCTCAAAATCTTCTGGCAGATCAGGGAAATGAACTCTTAGTGCCTGTTTGAATTCAGCTTCATCCAAATCCCGTCGCACCACAACACGGCAGGGTGGAGTGGAATCTGGGAGTATTAAAAAAACTATTTCAGCTTTCATGTCGAAAAACATGAAATTATTTTTTTAAAGTATTAACATATGTGAACTCACCCCTGTGTGATCTATACTGGCAAATGGTGGCTTTTTAGCATAGAAACTTTAAAAGTGATTTGTCTAGGTGCTCTTACTCTGCACCTTCGCTGACGGATCGGTCCACCACCACTTGAATTACGGAACATCTCAAACCTTTATATAAAAAACAAATATATATATATATACAGTATATATATATATAGAGAGTCATCATTGCATTTTCTAAGATGATGAAACCTGTTATTTTTTCAGTAATCAACTCAGTAAACAACAATCCTGTGCTATGAGCACTGCCGCTTCGCTATAGTTAAGTTGTTGTACAATTTGGATGTGCTGGTCAGTGTAATATTTGTCCCACCCTTCCTCCACTGTAATTGGATGGTAGGGTAATTATGACATTGAATAGTGCAGCATTTTATCCACTGAGCTATAAAAACCGGATTGCTCTGAGGTCATAACAAGTACATATCGTAATTCCCACATATTCTATTAACTTAATATGAAATGATCTGATTTTAATGAGAAAACATTACCAAATAACGGTTTTTTATATTTAAAGTCTACCTGTACATTCTTACAATGCAAAGTGAAACGTCCTAAGCATGTACTTGGTTACATATTTATTAGGTCAGGAACTTCCCTGCTTATTGAAGAGTTAAGTTTATCTTCATTACACCAGGGGCGTGTCTACGTGGTGGCCCTCTGGCTGGCCACCCCACCCCCACCCCCACCCCCACCAGATATCTTGCGATAGGCTTGTTTTTAGTAAATTTGTAACTGCATCTGGCAGTTGCGGATCCTGTGTAGGCAGCTGCCTAGGGCCGCTTTCTTCTCTTCTTTATACTTAATTTTAAGTGGTTTCTATAGCGTGATCTTAATGACAAATTTTGAAAGCGCATAATGTTACGCGATCCATGTAATGCGTGAGCAAGAATCTCTCCACTCGCAACCCCCCCGGCCACCCTATTTTGAGGCAGTGCCCCAGCCTGGCCCCCCCCATTTAAAATGCTCTAGACACGCCCCTGCTTGTAGCTACAAACTACAGTAATTTTGCTGCTTGTTTACACCTTACTGTGTCTGCTTTTTTCCTGGTTAATCTGCTTGCTTAAAGGGTTAGTTCACCCCAAAATTAAAATTCTGTCATTAATTACTCACCCTCATGTCGTTCCAAACCCATAAGACCTTCGTTCATCTTTGGAAGATATTTTTGATGGAATCTGAGAGCTCTCAGACCCTGCATAGACAGCAACACAACTGTAATGTTCCCAGACAGAAACGTAGTAAGGACATCACTAAAACAGTCCATGTGACATCAGTGGTTCAACTTCAATTTTCAACTCTCATACGTCATTCCCCCGGAACTGCTTCCGTTTACAACAGTGAGCGCAAGCTAGATTCAAGTGATTATTACGTTTTGAATATGGATATTTTTCTTACAAAAATGCATCGATTCGCTACAGAAGGCCTTTGTTCAACCCCCGGAGCCATGTGAGACACTTTTTTTTTTTATGGATGGGCGCTTTTTTTTTAAACGTCTTTTGGACTGAAGCAATGCAACACCCGCTGACTGCATTGATAGAGCTTGAAAGATCAAAGACCATTTTTAATATAACTCAGACTGGATTCGTCTGAAAGAAGAAAGTCATATACACCTAGGATGCCGCGGGGGTGAGTAAAACGCAGCCTAATTTTCATTTTTGGGTGAACTAATCCTTTAAGATCATGAGAATAGTGACGCCACGGTTCTGAACAACTCATGTCTGTCTGTCATTCACAAAAGTGATCCCGCTGTTGGATAAAGAAGATGAGTAAGACTGTCAAACTTAGATGCTGTTCTGTCAGTGGTTATAAGAAACTGTACTGCGCTATTGGCCACCACTGTGCAAAAAGCTTCTTAACATCTCAGTCTATACGCATATAATTCTGAAGTTTTAATAAACCGATTGTTCAATTAGGCTAATTTAAGTGTTTTTATGCAAAGAATAAAATTATCATTACACTGATGGTTGTTAACTTTTTAATTATATTATCCAAAGGTACATCAGTTAGCAAACCAATAGGCAGTAAAGGCTTTGGAGTCTATTTAAAGGGAATGATTGTGGTGGGGAATTTGGTCAAATTATGGCAGCAATACAGCTAATAATTGTTTGAAATCAAAGACGGCGCCGTCCATGGAGCCATTTAGTGTATGTGCACTATTTAATATGTAAAAACTTTAGTCCCCTGGCTACCATGTCAGAAGTAGCAATTCTAAAATAAAAAATTAAGCAGCAAATTCAGCAGCTTTTAGATCTTTTTAGTCCGATTTTGTCGAAACAAACTCATCGGAGCTCAACTCCCCTCAGCCCCAAAAATCAGTTGCTGGGGGCTCTCGTCTTTCTCTTTTTTTCTCCTCCATAGTACCTGTTGATTATATGTTTTGCGTGTTGTGCTTTAGAGGGCTGCATCAGGATTGGGATACTGTGGGCCACACGGGACCCAATGCAAATCTTGCAGGAGTAAACGGTTTTACCTTTCCTGCGGGCGGTCAAAAAATGCACAGTCCTACCATCCCACCGTCCCGCAATTTGGCACATAACAAGAATGATGGAGTTACATAAACACTAGGCAGTAGTAGTCGTAAAGTAGTAGTAGTAAAGTAGTCGGCAGTTTATGCAGTTTAAGGTTCAAAAAATATTATTTTCCACATAATGTACATTATTGTTTCTCCTCTATGCCCCGCCTTTCTGAAACGCGTTGTTTTTTTACAAAGCTCATCAGTCTTAAAAGCGAGATGTGCTCTGATTGGCCAGCTATCCAGTGCGTTGTGATTGGCCGAATACCTCAAGCATGTGACGGAAATGTTACACCCCTTACCATACTGTGATGCCGTGTCCCGGCCGGAGCGATGAGTCAAAAACATTAAAACCCATTATAAACTAGGCATTTGTTGCATACCTTGGGGACATAATTGCTGATTATAATGACTTATACCGTCTTTTTACGCATTGCATTGCGCCGCATAAACATAAAACCATGTCTGCATTTGTGATCGGAAAAAATGACAAACAACAAGCCCTACTCTACACTGCTCAAAACTCACGTTTGAATCATCCGTGGCAAAATCTTTAAATATGAAAACGTACTTTAACAGACTGTGAGTCAGAACAGCCGGCATTGTAGTCTACTCTCCCAGGAAACACTCCTCCATAAAATGCGCTGCACACATCTGTTCCAGAACAGTTTTGTAAATACAACTTAACCACTGATTTCCAGTCGTGTCCTCTTTTGAAAGACCAAACAAAGTATTTTTGCTTTCGCAACGAAACACACAGCATCTTCACAACATGGCGGCAGCGGTGGCAGCAACAATAAAGTTATGCCTTCTTTCTTTGTGTGAACATTTGGGCGGCGTTATGCAAATCTTCCCACACAGTGACGTAGACATGTGGGCACGTGTTTAAACGAGGCGTTTTAGGAGAGCGTGGACGAGTCTTAACTTTTATAAATCTCTTTTATGTTTGAGACTTGGATCTTATCTATTCACAAACAGCTTGTAACACTCCAAAGAGAAAGGAAAACTTGAAATCGCATCATATGACCCCTTTAACGCAGTTTTATCATAGGCAGAATGCAAAATATAATTAATTACAAGCATTTCAGTCAAATGTAATTTATGCAATATTTCAAACCTTTAACCCACAGGGGAAAAAATCAACCCATTGTAACAGTTAAAAAGAAGCCCAATTATGTGGGAAAAAAGGCAGACTTGACAACCCTGCATCCAAAACGAGCTGCAGGAGTCAGAGTCACGGGTCAAGAGTAATGAGAGATGACTGATAAGACCATGGTGGAGGATTTGCTGCTCCACAGATCCTGAGCTCATTGACAAATATCTTATCTCTTTACACGGAGTATGCGAGATCACAAAATCAAAAGTGAACAGTGAGCACTCATTCAACAGTGATTTCAATACCCCACATTTTGATAGCAGCCCCCTGATGCGCGAACATTATATACTGTACAATATTAGTGTTTAGACGGGCAGGAGTGGGCGAGAGGGGAACACACACGATGTGGGAGCAGGCAGTAATGGTCAAAAATTCAGCGGGAGCGCAATTATGAAAACAGTACCGCACAGAGCTCTACCATCGATATCAAAATACTGAAGATTATTTTTAATGACATGCCTGAGCGACCGAAAGATAACATTTTCATTACTGCAAATCATTGTTTTGAGTGTTGATCAAATTTGTACACATCTGCGTACATGTAGTCACCTTTGTAATATGACAAGTACAGGAAATTAAGCAAACAAAAGCAATTACCACACTGAAACAGACTGTTACCATCATTGTGGTTGCATTGTTTCCACTTCTTCCGACTCAAGCTCATACATATATGGCTCTATCACAGTATTTACCATCTCGAGTATCAAAAACAACATGTTGTGAAGGAGGGCATGGATATGGTGTGATGAAGTTAGCCAATCACAGCAGTGGCTGTTTATTTCCATTTCTCCAAGAGGTAATGCCCCATGAAGCTGAGTGTTTTTCACAGAGAGTAAAATTGTGGATGGAAAATTATCATTTTGACAAATATTGGACCTTTATTTGTACAAAAATACACTTCATAGAAGTTTATAAACTAACCTCAAGAAACATCTGAAACGGCATAAACCTTAAGAGTTGCTTTGTTTCCGCAAATTTTTTCCACAGTGAAACATATTCCACACTGATGATATAAAACAGTTCTTTCTTAAGTGAATCTTCATGTAGTAATTAAGGGTTCTATTATATCTGAAAGTCTTCCCACACTGACCAAATATAAATGGCTTCTCTCCAGTGTGAATTCTCATGGGGACTTTAAGGCATCCATATTGATCTACACTCCTCTCCAGTGGGAATTTTCATGTGCTTGTTAAGGATTCCTTTTCAGCTGAAACTTTTTCCACAGTAGCTGCGTTTCACACGTCTGCGGTGCAGTGTGGCTCTGATACGGCCACTGATGATGACTGAGGACACTCGTAGTCAATGCTTGTGTTTATTCCAGCCGCGCCACGCACGTTTCTGAAGGGCTCTCTGTGCTGCTTCTGTAAAGATACACGCATACGCCTCCTTTGAATAAATATAGCCAAAATCCATTGTCATGACTTATTGCGAGAGGCAAAAGTTACGTTTTAGTCACATAACATTGGTTAATGGAAACGCCGTCATTTCACAGTACTTTTTATCGACATTTTTTAAATATCGCCAAAGTTTTGCACAAATCTGTAATGGAAACGCACCTATTGTTTGCAGGTGAAAGGCTTCTCTCCAGTATGAATTGGCATGTGGACTTCAAGATGTCCTTTTTTAGTGAAACTCTTACCACACTGCATGCATTTGTAAGGCTTCTCTCCAGTGTGAACTCTCATGTGGGCTTTAAGGTTCCCATGTTGATCAAAACTCTTTCCACACTGAGTGCATGTGTAAGGTTTCTCTCCAGTATGAACTCTAATGTGGACTTTAAGGTTCCCATGTTGATCAAAACTCTTTCCACACTGAGTGCATGTGTAAGGCTTCTCTCCAGTGTGAATTCTCATGTGGACTTTAAGGTTCCCATGTTGATCAAAACTCTTTCCACACTGAGGGCATGTGTATGGCTTTTCTCCAGAGTGAATTCTCATGTGGACTTTAAGGTTTCCATGTCGTTTGAAACTCTCTCCACACTGAGGGCATGTGTAAGGCTTCTCTCCAGAGTGAATTCGCATGTGCCTGGTAAGGCTTCCTTTTATAGTGAAGCTCATTCCACACTGTTGGCAGGTGAAAGGTCTCTCCCCAGTGTGAACTCTCATGTGATAATTAAGGTTTCCTTTTCGGCTGAAACTCTTTCCACACTGTTGACAGGTGAAAGGGCTCTCTCCAGTGTGAACCCTCATGTGGACTTCAAGGTTTCCATGTTGATTAAAACTCTTTCCACACCGAGGGCATGTGTAAGGCTTCTCTCCAGTGTGGATTCCCATGTGCCTGGTAAGGCTTCTTTTTACAGTGAAGCTTATTCCACACTGTTGGCAGGTGAAAGGGCTCTCTCCAGTTTGAATTTTTATGTGGACTTTAAGGTTCCCATCTTGCTTTCCACGTTGAGGGTATGTGTAAGACTTCTCTCCTGTGTGAAGTTTTAGGTGAGCCTGAAGATTTCCATGTTGACTGAACCTCTTCCCACATTGAAAGCAAGCAAAATGATTTCTTGTTCCTATCTTTCGAACTTTTTTTTGTGAGAAAGTATTTTCAGTCTGTGAGTAACTAAAAGATTCATCTTCAGTAATGAAATCATGATGTTTCTCATATTGATCTTTCTCTTCTATATGATTCAGTATGTCACTCTCCACTTTCAGCGGCATCAGTTCTAAGGTGAAAAAGAAACAAAAAAGTTAACCCCAGTTTAATGGCACAAAGCAAAAGACATCAAAACTAAAAACATACAGATAGAACCTGTACTCACTAAGCCATGGGTTTTCAACCATGTTCCTGGAGCCACCCCAACAGTGCACATTTTGTCTCTAATCAAACACACCTGATTGAGGTCATCAGATCATTAGTAGAGACTCCATGGCCTGAAATGGGTGTGTAGTTCAGTGTAGTAGGCTGCAGTCTCAAGGCCTTTTCACACGGAGCACGATGCAAAAAAGCTTGGTGAATTGCAGACGAACGGTACTTCCACACCGAGCACGAAATGATTTATCACCTTCAGCTAATTCTCGCTTACACGCTAGGGGGCGCTGACCAACAATGCATTTTTCCTCAGTTATGTATCTCGTATATGGAGTTAACATCGTCCGTTGCTCAATATACAACATTAAATTAAGATAAATAAAGTTTGGTTTTACACCAGAAACAAACCATCTATAATGCTTACAAGAATACATCTTAAAATGTACTCTTCCCTCATGTAAAATGTAAATGTAAAACCCACTTATCATTTGTCATAAACATCATTTATTGTTATGGAAATACCATGAGCTGCATAACAACACGTACAGAAAATATATCGTCACTGCCGCATACAACGTCGGTCTGTCGTCGGGGAACATGAGTGAGTACAAAGCATCGTGCTATGCTCTCCAACTGGCGGTAAGAGTTGCCAAACTCCGATACAGGGAACGAATAGAGTCTCATTTTCAGCTAAATGACTCCCGACGCATGTGGCAGGGACTGAGAACCATCTGTACCTTTGGAAATAAATCTTCTGCAGCTGTGAGAGCAGACACATTGCTGGCTGACGAGTTAAACTCTTTCTACAGCCGCTTTGAATGCAATCAAGGCAGCGCAACTCTGCCGATCAGCACGTCAGGAAGCTGCAGACAGAGCAGTGATAATCATGTAATCACTGTGTCGGAGGACGAGGATCGGAGGGCTCTAAAGCGAGTGGACGTCAGGAAAGCAGCAGGTCCTGATGGGATTTCTGGCCGTGTTCTGAGGTCCTGTGCTGATCAGCTCGCTGGTTTGTTTACATCCATCTTTAATGAGTTCTTTGCTACCTCGATGGTTCCCACCCCCCTTTAAAAAATCTGTCATCATCCCTGTGCCTAAGAACAATAACCCCTCTTGCCTGAATGACTATCGTCCAGTTGCCCTCACGTCAATAGTCATGAAGGTCTTTGAAAAACCTATAAAGAACAACATTTGCTCCTCCATCCCTGATACTTTGGACCCTCTTCAGTTTGCCTATCGCCCCAACAGATCTACTGAAGATGCCATCTCTCACGTCCTGCACTCTTCCCTCATGCACATCGACAGCAGCAATGGGAACTATGTAAGGCTGCTATTCATCGACTATAGCTCAGCTTTCAATACTATAGTCCCCATCAAGCTAGCTTCTAAACTCATGGACCTCGGCCTGAATTCTTCACTCGGCAACTGGATTCTAGATTTCCTCACTGGTCGACCTCAAGTGGTGAAAGTAGGCCAGTTCACCTCCAACTCCATCACCCTGAACGTGGGAGGGCTGTGTCATGAGTCCTCTGCTCTACTCTCTCTACACACATGACTGCGTGTCTTCCCACAGCTCCGAGGTAGAGAAACTCACATCATGGTGCCAGGACAATTGTCTCTCTATGAATGTGAGTAAAACTAAAGAGCTGATTGTGGACTTCAGGAAGAGACAGCAG